GTGAGTTTCACCACATTTTACAAGTTGGCCACGCCCACCCAGTCACATGGCTGGTAAGCCATTCCCACCTGTTCCATTGGCCAGCAAGCCACTCCCACAAAGCAGGCCATACCTACTGAAGAGGTTCCAAAATTTTTTGAAACCCACCACTGACCTCCAGATATTAAGGATACCTTTTATGTCTAGCTTTAACAAAATACATCAAGAAACTTAGCATGCAAGATTCACTTCCAACCAAAATAAAGAATTCACTTACAAAAATGATTGTTAAATTTAGAAATAAGGAGGTTTAAAGGCATGTGAAGATGAACAAAAGATGTTGTGACATTTTGTAGTGCAAGCTTTAATTATTCAAGGAGGAATTTTGAAGCCACTTGCAGCCTGTCTCTACAACTCTTAAGTGTTATATTGGAGATGAAGGTAAACCTTAAAATCAATACTTGTCAAAGCAGTTGTGAAATCAAGTGTCGTGTTTGTTTGAAATAACCTCATGGCCTAGCGGTTTTCACTGAAAGTTGTAATGTGATAGGAGTTCAAAGCTAAGATGATAAAGAATCTGCTGTGCTTCACAAAACATTCTATTTGTGTTGAAATAATAAAATAGCATTAAAAAAAATTATTAAATTTTTCAAGAATTTAGCTTGGTTAAAAACCACCTGGAATCTGAAATAGAAAAAAAAAATGATTATGCTACAAATTAAAATTATTTAGAAATATAAACTATGAGTAATATAACACAGTGGTAACATTGTTGGCCTTTGCAATAGGGTAAAATAAATAAAGAAAGGACACAATCTCTTTTTTCTTGAAAGTAAAGTAGAGATTGATGTGCAGATCCTAATATCATGAATCACTCTATTCAGTAATTTATTTCTTGTACTGAGCTGGTAAATTAGTGTTAGTAAATTAGTATGGTGCTTGTATTAGAAGAAATTACTACCTGCTTACTCTAGTGAGTATCTTCCTTATCCCACCTTGGCCTCTGGTGACTGAACTGATACAGTTCACTTTCTTGAAATGCATATTGGCAGTTGAATATGTCTGTCAGCCTCTGTTTTGCTGCTTGCTTTCGACTGCCATTGAAACGGGCGGGCATGGTATTTGGTTGGGGGATGTAATCTGTACAGGAGGACGGTTAATTGGAAGTTGTTCTCACCATTCGTTTCCGCATGTGGCAGAAGGGCAGTTTCCCGTTGTGGAGATATATGATTGGACTATGGACTGGGTGCCAAGGGGAGGGGAATTAATCATGTATTGATATCTATTGCTTTCACGTTCTTTTGTTCACATCCAGCTTTGCTTAGCTTCTCATTACTTATAATCAGTAAAAGTACACTTAATTCTGCAAAACGGAGTTGAGTGGTTTCTTTCTTGGTTATTAAGTGAAGGAGCCATGACAATGTCTATATTAACTCCAACAATAAGGGCGGAGTTGACTATGACACATATTCAAAGTCATGGAGAAATTACAGTATTCAACTATTGGTTGAACATCTTATCTATGGACCCAGATAGATGACTCAAGTTTTGTTCTGAAGAGCAGTAGCATAATAGGCCTCCTCACACTTAGGCTTCCTAACTTTCAAGGGGGGCATTTGCCCAGGTTCGCCTGGTCCGCCAGTTGCGGCCCTACCTAGACCGGAGAAAATGAAGCCTACAAATACTTAGGCATTCTGCAGTTGGNAGGAGGGAGGTCAGGAGGATGAAGGAGAGGTCCCGGTTGTTGGATTTGACAATTGCAGTTTCTAAGTATTTAATGAATATGATTAAAACAAGGCCTGTAGTTAGGAACAGGAGTAGAGCAAAGGAGATGAGGATGATGCCCAGATGTTCTTCATAGGACAGGAAGATTATTATTTTGGGGATACATTTGACTCGATTCTTGTTTGGATATTGTTCAACTGGGCATTTTGTACATTTTTCAGTATCTGAGAAACAAAGTAATATTTTTTTCATAGTCTTTCAAATTTCAAGAAATCCTTTAGGTGACATTTGATACTGAGAGACAGGAAAACCTCATTAAATTGTATATAAATACATTCCAAGAAAAAAAATCCCCAATATATAAATCAAATTAAAAGAAGAAATATCTGGTGGAACAAACTCCCTTCTCTGAGGTGATCCACCAGATTCTTTTCTTTCACTGACTTTCTTTTGAGTTTGTTTGTTTTAATTTTAATTTTTGACAGATGCTACATATGATTTCTCACAGGAATATTTAAACTCAGTTATTAATGATTGACCCACCAACTAGGCTCTCAATCAACTGCTCTAAAAATCCTGCTCACAGAGTAAAACTTGTCTAACATGGTTGGATCCATGGAGAGCCCCTTGAGAAGGGTTGCAAAACTGCCTACTTCAGGGAGATTATTCAGCCCCTTCCAGTTAAAAACCATTAACTACCCTGGATTAGGGAGTATCTACAAATCCTTTAAAATGTGATTTTGTCAACAGCCCTGGGAATCACTTGGTAACAGATCCTTGCATAATTGGTAGCATCTTGATGCATTCCTCTCTTGCTTTCTTAATATTTGTCTGTTCTTTTTAACTTTTATATGTCCCCCCTCCCTGTTTTATCTATAAGCGGCCCTGAATCTCTCGAGATTGGGCGGCATACAAATCCTAATAAACACTAAACACTAAACAATATTTATTTCGCATTGTATTAATTTTTAATTATTGCTTTAATTGTATGCCAACTGAATGAGATAACTTTTGAATGAAATAGAGTCACTTTATGTGAAATAGACAGCCATATAAATTTGATGAATAAATTTTAAAATAAAGATATCTTAAAAAAAGATGAATTCATGAAACAATTCAAGAAGAGGAATTGAAGTTGTTATCTATAAAGACTTTTTGCCCAATAAAAATGAGAAGATGAAGCAATATATTTCTATCCTCTCTATATTTGGCAACAATTTTGAATAGAGAATGGATTCAACATTAGTATCAATGGATATTATGTAGATTTTTATTAGTTTTTTTCTCCCTCCTTTCTGTTCCTTTTAATCCTAGTGCAGCATGTTAGACTTTTTTTCCCTTTCAAAAGCAGGACTATATTCCTTTTCTGTTGGTGTTATAACTGTTTGCATCTCAATATTTAACAATGAGGAAAATTGGAAAGATAAGAGAAGGTAGGAAGGAAATATCCACTTGACGGTTTTATGATGAGACATCTGTTTGGTTTTCATTGTTCCTTCAACCCAAAATCTCTCCCTCAATTGTTGCTCCCAATTAGAAATTTCAACTTATTAAGATTTATGATGTTAATAAAGATTAACTGATTAAATGTATGATTGATGAATCTTTTGGCCTGTAATATAAAGTCGGTTTGGGTGAGCAAAGCCCTTTGAATTAAAATCATTCCTCAAGTTACAAAGAATTCAGACGTAACTAAGAAAGAGAAATATGGAAGGAC